CAGCCACCGAATCGGGCCCAATCTCCTCTAAATCGAATCACCACCCGAAGCTTCTCACAGCCCTAGCATTCACCAACAGCAGACAGTACACACACATACAGGGCACTATCATAATGCGGATGGCAACTACAGAAACACGTGTCGCAGACAACGAGCGAGGAGCACAAATCCACACACGAGACTATAGGTTGGTGTGTGTCACTCCCACAATACATCACACAAAGCAGCTAACGGCAGGCTCCCACCACACCGATCACAAAAGAGTGCATTTACTTCACATATAACTAGTTTTTGGTCATCACATAAGAGCAAATTTGCACATACAGAACCCGCATAAAGCGAGGGAAACCTGTACATTATTCTGATTGGACCACAGAAGAATTAGTGCATATGTGACAAGGTTTTGGAACTGACCTATAACATGATGCACACCAAATAGTTGCCACACAGCACCAAAAGCATCTTGATAAGCACTGGAATTGAGTGTGGTGGGAAGGAAACCAGTCCACCTCAAGGGATACAGACCTTGCCATGTGCAGAGTAGCAATAGCTGAGCTGGCATTGCTTGGAGGGGGCAAGCATTTATTTATGGAAAAGCACATGAGAACTGTAGGACGACCTTCCCACCTTCAGTTAGGCTGGAGTTTTATAGGTAAACCGAAGTCTGCAAGACGGGCTTCACAAGCCTGTGAGAGCAGGGTTTTTGCATGAAGACTTCACCTGCTCTTTTTGAACTTGGAGAGCAAGGGAGTTATGAGTCTTTTGCTCTCATTACCAGTAATCACAGAAGCTAGTGGAAAGGAGGGCAGGCATAACAGCATGAGTCTGTTCAGCTGCTCTATCACAGAGGCGCAGCAACGCCCGGCCTAACAACTCAGGATCAACATCAGCCATTGCTTTAAGTTTGTTAACATGCCAGGGCAAGTGGCTGACTATCTGGGGAGGTATGTCCAGTGACTCATTCTGTGCCATGGGCTCTGAGGGGGGCTGTTCAAGTATATTGATACCTCAAGGTCTTGAACGGTCATTGCAAACTACTGTTACTTATGCATCCATAACTGCAGTAGCACCCAAGAAATACTCAGCACTTCACAACATATTCCCTGTCACAGGGAGAAAGTAAAGACAAACTTTTTGGGGTGCAGAATGAATTTGCAATGGGTTTGAAAGGTCTCCGGGCCCCTCTACGCGTGCAGGTAAAGAAGGCGTGATTGTGGGATTGTGCACCAGATCCCATCACACCCTGCTGCTGATGCAGAGGGAGCCCAATCCTGCCCCCCCCCCAACCCAATGGCTGGGATATCACAGCAGCTGCAGTCTTGCCCACGCCCCCATGTCTGGCAGATCGCAGCTGTGCCCTGTGGCTTCCTGGACCCAGAGTCCTACAGCTTGTCACCAACACAGGGTCACCAACACTGTGGGATGCTGTTGTGGGACTGGAAGCCATGGGGCACTGCCAGGACCCAGCCTAGCTGTGCCAGGGCTGGGAGCCCCCTAAGTTTCAGGGCTCCTAACATTAGCTGGGCATAGTGCACCCTTGTAACTGGGGGCCTGGTCAGCTGATGGGGCTCCCAGCTTCTGGGGGGACCCTGATACAAGTGCAAATTAAAGCTGGATAGCAACCAGCTATTAAGTTAGTACACATTTTTGAGGTCTATCTCTATAGCTCGCTGGATATTTTTATGGCATGGTAGGTCCTTTGCTTGTGCAGTTAACTGTACAATTAACTATTTAGTTTCACAATTCCTGTAACATGTAAAGGGAACCTCTGCTTCACATGCACAAAATGAATTCATTGCCAAGAGACTGCTAGGCTGGCTACACTGACTGAAGTTAATGAATAAACAGCTCCTTGCAGTATTGACTTTATCACTGTATTTAAAACACATATGGGAGACATCTCAAGGAAGCCTTTCCTGTATAAATCATCTTTTCCAAAGATAAAGAAGTACCAACAGCTTTAAATCTTTCTGTTGACAAAACTGATAAACTGGGTCAAAAAAATTCAAATCAAAACTGCTTTTTTGCAGTTCAAATTGAAACTGCTCATGGAGGAGGGAGGGAAGGCTCCTCTCTGCAGAAAATGTTGACTGCATGTTAAAAGAGAAAACACTTGAAAATCCCAAACCCCTTTAATTTGGAAATTCCCTTGGGTATCCTCACAGCAGTAATAATTCAGTTGCCTTTTTTCTTCTATTTTTCCATGTGCCATGCCCCCCACATAAAGATCTCCCATATAACGCACTGTGTAGTCTCAGCAAAATCATAATGGATCGCAGGAGATGGAAACAATAACCAGTGGGACTCCAGCTTTGAAATACTTAAGGCATCTTTTCAAATATGGGGTTAGGTACCTGGGTCACTGAGGTGCTTCTGAAATTTTCACACCCTGTGCATGAGGTTCACAGTGGCATTTCAGTAAAGGAGCTTGAACTGTCAAAAGTGACTAGGAATTTTGTATGTGCAACTCAAGGGACTTTTAATGGGCCTGATTTCTCGGAGAGTGAATTTTCCACATGTTCTGAAAAACGGGTCTGTCTAAGCTATGTCTGGTTGAGCACCCAAAATTCGCTCACCGCTTTTAATGGCAATTTCCGGCTTTTCTTTGCATAATAAGAAAGAAGTTTCTAAGTTCAGACTAAACAAGGTTGTTAATTATATTCTTGCCTAAACATCCTCCTCTGGAATTCTTTTGGGGAGTCTCTAAAAGTTGTATAAAGCTATTCCTTTTTATACCAGACCTCCACCACACCACAAACACAAAAGTCAGAAAGCACATTGTTCTGGATCCTTCTTAAATGTCTTGATTTTAAGGATAATGCTTAACAAAATTAGATCACTTTCAGGGCTCAACCATGCTCTTTAAAACCAGTGGCAACATTCACATTAAATTTGGTTAAAGTAAAAGCATGTCATCATAACTTTGCAACAGTAGGCTAAATTGCCCTGATTGTTAGGCCTGTGCGAGTCAGCAGTGATCTGATCCGGCTTTGGATCCGGCTACTTCGGATGACTACAATCTGATCCGGGTCTCCGGACTGGGTTTCCGCCTCGATCCAGCTGAAGCGGCTCCGAAGCTAGATACTTCTGGGGCCCTGCATCCCTAGCTGCTGACAGGCAAAACTCGTGCCAAAACTGCATCTGTCCTGGGGCAGTTGATTGTCTGTCATGAGTCTTTCCTCTCCTTAGCCTGGTTTTGTAGGTGCTAATTGATGCTCGTTAAGTCATTATGTAGTAGCTGGGACCTATGTATTGAGCTGGTCCCTGAGTCCCTGGTCCCCAAGCCAGACACAGTCAGTCCCACAAGCACCCACGGCACCAGATTTGCTTGTCTGCAGCTTGAGGTGCAGTTCCCCCCAAACCCCTGCACCAATCTTCTTGAAACTTGGCAGGCTTTGTGGCCTCAGCAAGTGCTACCACCCCTGCGGTTTTCACCCACTATGTTGTAACGCCTAGACATGATATGAGTTTTGTTTTCAAGAATTTGGGGTGCCATTCCTCCCAAACCCCTGCACCAATCTTCTTGAAACGTGGCAGGCTTCATCCTCTCTGCATAGTCTACTACCCCTGAAACTTTCATCCAAATTGGATAAAAAACAATGTTATCGATATTTCATTGATTCCCCGTTATACCCTATGGCTGGATCTCGGAGGCGGTTCCGAAGCGCTTCGGGAAGCCGAACGAGGCGGCGCTTCGACCCGGACGTGCTGCCTCCCACCCCGAAGCGTCCAAAGCTTCTCTGGATCCAAAGCTCTGTCCGAAGCCTCACACCGCCCTACTCATTGCACTGCATGGTGTGACAGTCTGTCCAATTAAAACAGATGCTTGTCAGTCACCACGCATATCCGATGGGTGGAAATTCCCTCCAGTGCTCTGCAAGGAGTCTGGCATAAAAAATATCTGGATTAATTACTTAACTGTGTAACATGCCCACTGCTTCAGCCTTGGCTGAGATCGGATGGCCCCATGACCATGATCCCTGAAGCAACCAAAACTAATGCAGCTATCCTTTAAATGCAGCTAATACCCATCTTGCTCACAGAGGTATTGGGAGATGTGACAAATGGATTTATGTGCTTTGAAGATGAAGAATGCTGTGCAAGTGCTATTACATTGATTATTACTGTTTGACCCAGTAAGACAATGGGATGACTAATAATAGTGCTTCAGCCATTACATCAGTATTTTTCACCTTACGAACATTTAAGGGGACATCCCTTTCCAGCGGAAACTTGCAGCCTCGTTGCCTTTAGCAATTCTATTTATTTTAGAAGCTCGTATAACCCCAAATGTCACAGTACCCAAACACCACACAAGCGCCAGTGAATACAGCCTTACAGCCCTATGTGAGGTAAGGAAATGCTGTTTTCTCATTTTATTGATTGAAATCCAAGCACAGGCGGAGGTTACAGGGGGAATCTGTTGTGGGGCAGGGAACTGAGCTCCAGTCTCCCAAGTTAGTAAGTGAACAGGACCATCTTCTGTTTTCAATCTGAGGTGTTCACATGTGACCACAATAGGTGCAACATCTCAGCACTGGCCTTTGAGACCCACAACACCTCTGTGAAATCCTGTTTTATGGGCGCACAGACTGAGGCAGAGAGCAAGGAAGTGACTTGCCTAAGGTCACAGAGTCAGTTATTTGTCAGTTATTATGAGCTGCTCTGAGCCTTTCTGGATTGGGTAGGGTCAAAATCTAAATAACAACAACAACAACAAGAAGTTATTGTTAAAAATTGATTCTGATACAGCTAAGCAATTTCCACTGTTATTAATTAGGGTTATGGGAGAGAGAAGCTTACAGGGTAGTGGTGATCGTGTTAGCAACTTTTCCAAGTAATTCCATGTAGCCTCCTTTAAAGCTTTGGTAGAGCAACACCTCTGTTATAGTTAAACCTTTTAGGGGCCACTCCTATCCCTTTCAAGCAGAGGTTTTAAAGCAAACCACAGTCGTAATGTGCCATTGCATATAGATGAGCTGGCAACCAGTCTGAGCTAACACAGGGAGATATAAATACCAAAGAAGGCCTTGGGCTCTCTTCCATCCGATGCAGGAACTGTTGGACCAAAGCACTGAAAAAACCTACAGCTACAGAAACTGTGGGGAGTCACTCACTGCGCAAGAAGCAGGGCAGCCTTTTCTTCCTTCTTCCTTCTTACTGCTTAGCAAACAAGGTAAGGAGTGCCATTCCAGATACTGTTGTCTCCAAAGCTGATGGAGATGAATCCACTTCATTCCCAGGGGGATGGACCCAGCTGTTTCCAGGCAAAGATGTTCTGTTACCATATGACACTAGCCATACTAAGTACAACATGCTAACTATGACCTTTTCCCCTTAAGTTCTCCCACAACCTTAAGATAAAACTGCTGCACAAATGCATGAAGCAGCAGACCAAGGCTCAGAATACCTGGGTTGTCTTTATGGTTGCCTGCTGCCTGTGATCTTGGGCAAGTCAGCTCTTTGCTCTCTGCCTCAGTTTGCACTCCCATAAAACAGGATCTCACAGAGGTTTTATGGCACTCAGAGGACAGTGTCGAGATTTTGCATCATTGTGCTTCAGATTGCAATCAATAAAATGAGAAAACTGCATTTCCTTGCCTGACATAGAGTCATAAGGCTGGATTCACTGAAGCTTGTGTGGTGCTTGGATACTGTGGTATTGGGGGTCATATGAACATCAAAGACAAACACAAGTACTAAAACTGAAAGAAGGTGGAAAATAACCTGTAATTCTCTATTTGTTGAGTTGGGCCATATGCCAGTATTTTGGCTCAGTTTCTATTCCACCTATTAGGTGCTTAAGTGGGATTATGTGTGTAAATATGATTTTATTCCATCCTACTCAAGCCCCTGAAAAGCAGTCAATGCCCAAGTGGAAACATCTTCCTCCTGCTCACTGCTTTTCATAACTTAGCCTTAAGACTAAGGTAATGGAGTGCTACAAAAACAGGTGTGTTAACATGTTTTCAAGGATGCAAGCAAGGTGGAATAGGATTACACATAGACACCTAAATCCACTTAGACATGTAATAGGTGGAAAAGTATCAGATCCTCTGTGTACAGGCTATTTCATTGTCTTCTCTGTAAAATCAGTGGCTGAAATAACCTTTATAAATACCAGCAGGGAAGCAGAAAAAATAAGTCCACATGTTAAAATAAATCCACATATTAAAAATAAGCCCACACGTTTTGCACATGCAAAAGTAGATTTTCTGCATAAAGCAGGAACCTCCTGGGTGCTGCCCTATTGAAAATGCCTCCAAAAAGAGAGACGTTTATTTAAAGGGCACTTTACCAAAAACAAGTATTTTTTGATTAATAATTTTTTTAAACTTTACAACTGACAGTATTCTTTTAATGAATTATTTGTAATGTTCTTTGGGATCCTTTGAGGAACAATCCCCACAAAAGTGCAATGTGTTCTTACTGGGAGATGGAAGCAAAGCAGGAGAGTTTCTGTTTTGCATGGTGAAATTTCACCAGAGAGAGAAGAAA